ATGAGTTATAACTTGAAAACTTATAAAATAAAGTATAAATATACAACTCAAAGTGTAAACATATTTATAAAAATATAGACTACAAAAACATTTATTATACCGCATTTTAACTTAACCGATATAAACGATATAATTTCATTAGATAGAATATAGGCATGATGCAAAATTGTGGCTTACAGAGCATTCCAAATTCATTATAGCTTACTTTGAGTACGCTCAAGCGATACACTAGAAAATATAATATAATGAGTCTACATTTGATTTCCCTGCACACCTCGTTAGTGCAATTTAATGCGCCGCCCGTCGCGATGCTCGTATTATTATGCTAACGGGCGAACGTTGTAATATTTCGAGTACGTCACCGGTGGTGACATGCTGCATGTTTAAACAAAAGCATCGCGAGAGATTTAAGTAAAATTGTTCCACCATTAAGCATCACTCGAGATAAAAGTATGCGGACCCCCGCGTCTCGACATGAAGACACATCTCTTAAAAAAATCCATCACATTGTAAACGTCTTTCATATCTTTTTTTACTATAAAATTAACCTACGAATTACTAATCAAATATAATAATTGTATCCAACCCTAACTTTCCACGTTAATATAAAAATTTTTCGTTATCGTCTCATGAATTTCTAATAGATTCAATAAAAAACAGTTTGCCCCTAAAGGTCCCGAGCGGCGAATAACGTTTCAAAAAACAATACCTCCTTGGATGTCTCAGTCTATAACAGTCAATGTCGATCTTTACAAAAATGTCACGTAGTATGTAAATCGTTGCGACCGCGATGTGTCCCGACTGTCAAAAGCATCCGGTGTCGTATAGATTTTTCTCAGTGAAGACTTCACTTTCTGTGATGAGGGAAAGTTTTTCAATTAATTTTTCTCTTTTTTTCCCAATGATCAAAATGACTTCAGGATATATAAAATAAATAAATTTAATCAACTTTTTAATTTAAATAATAATAATTATATCGAGAAAAATATAAAAAAAGACTAACCTGACATTTCACCTACAGGGATACAAATTTTAATTTATTTCATAACATCATTTAATTTAACATCATTATTCATATTAGAATCTCGTAAAACATTATTGATTAAATTATAACAAGGACATTTTGTGCTAGACAGCGCTATATTGAATTACTTTACATAAAACGAGCTGTTTACTTTGATATTACAAAATACTCTTGAAAGTCACATGTTTGTGGCGTTACTGGATTTGAATATCCGTTTTGATGTTTAAGTAACGATAGAGTTTACATCTTAACTCGTTTAAATAAAGGTATTGATATTGTTAATGTAGCATATATTTTTTTATTGTATAACAATTTTTTTAACAGAAATCAAAGAAGTAATATAAATAAACGGAATATATAAAATTAAAAAAAATGCATTTTGAAATAAATTATTATAAAAATACACTAATTAAAACGATAACATGTGTACAATTCAATTATTTAATCTTTATTTTTTTTTAATTTCCAACTTAATTAAAAACCGACAAAAACAAGTACTTAAGCGAAGGAAGTGTATTACGCCAACTCTCAAACGTATTTCAACTACATTTGCTTAAAACTTGTAAATATTAAGCGAAAACTCTAGCCAATTAAGCAGGCGGCCATATTGCTCCCAAGGAACTTTGTCGAGAGTTGTACTCGTGCTGGTTGTTCCACGAATATAACCAAGAGCTTATTTCCTTTTGATTCATAAAATTAACCCACTGCTTTGCAAAACTTCAATCTTCGATTTAACATATTTAAATTGCGAGCTCTTTGAAAAGCTACATTCAATAATTTTTGTGCAATAAAATTTCGTCCCGCCGAAGTGCTTATCCGGAACAAATAAATAGTAACATAGCATTTGTGCAGTAAATATTCCTTGAATGGAACTTGATTGATTGCATTGGTTAATTCGGAACATGCAAAAAAATTGCACGCAACCAATTTAGAATGTGACGTGGTACGTGAACAGATGACTGGGCCATTTGTTATCGGAGCGACGCTCTGGATACAGCGCTCCTGTTTAATTGAGCTATTTGTGTTAGTCCGCCGTGACAACGCCGCAACGTAACTTTATATCGCCATTGTTTACAAGCTGTACTGAATATGGTTATCAATACCTCTACTTGATCCCAGATACACGTCAACTTGTTAACGCAGAATTATGACGATGATATATAACCGTGCATTTAATGTAGCCGTGCTTTAAATAATTCCGGTTGCGTAGTTCATTCTCAAAAAAGCTTTCTGAGAAATATATGACTTCCAATAAACTTACTTTACACGTTTTATTATAAAACACAATTTTATCAATATTATACGTAATATTAAAATAAAACTTCTTTTAAAAATCTTCTTGAATTTCTCATACATTTAACGTAGGTATCACAAAACAGAGGAAAACAATATTTTTATATAAATTTATTAAATAAATTTATTAAATACACGTCTTTGAATATTAAATATAAATAAACATATATGTATATATTAATCATTATTTAAACCAAGCGTCATAAAATTATGAATCATAAACACAGTGGTAAGACTTGTTTATTTTAAGTCGCGGAAAAACCTTTAATAAAATTATTATAAAATATTCTATTATATTATTAAATGTTACATTTTATCCACGAATTTTATCTATAATATATGATTTGATGCATATTTGCAAAGTGATGGCATATTATATAAAAATAGTATGCATAGTATTTTTAAATTAAAACTAAAACTTACATTACAATTTATTAAAAATGATCAATATGACAAAAAGGTTTGCTTGTTTTTCTAATAAGTTAAACAAGCTGTTGTAAATTTTACTCTTATAAATTTTTTGTCTTTGTATAGCTATGAATATATTTTTCAATTACACTTAAACTGACCTCTTTTTAAATTATCAATCCGTACCAAAACTAAGCTAGTGTTATTTAACTGAAATTGTTTCGAATACAATGTTAAGGCTGAACACAGTTACTAGAAATTACTATTTGTATTCAAGAACACTATTATTCACAAAAGGTACCCAGGCATACCACGCAGGTACAAAGTAAATTCTCGAGCAAAAAATAAATTTGTTTTGTGCTACTCACAGTATACAGCTCCCCTGGGTGCAACATAATTCGAGAGCTTAACAAACGGTTGGGATAACGCATGTGTTTCTGGAGAAAAATCATCGTCTTACTTTATTTAAAAAAAAGTCCTAGAAAGACTTTCATATCCCTTACATTATAAACATAAATAACATCGTAAAATTATATGTATTTACATGAGTTTTATGGATACTGAAAGTTATAGGAAAACCTATTTAAAATTAACTTTGAATATTAAAATTATAACAAACACAATTCACCAAGAATAAGATATTTATAAATGAGAATTAAAAGTATCTACAATATTATGTAAAGTAAGACCCTCTTTTAAATATCTTTTATTAGTGACTCTTCACTTAGATAAATATTCATTGAACCATCTTGAGTTCATTCAATAAATAAAATAAGAGTTTATGGATTTTCTCTTAACGGAATCAAGTTTTATAAAAAAAGGAATGGAGAAGATTACTGAAGCCCCTTTTCATCCAGAATAAACTTTTTATTTTTAAAAGGAGAATTTTTTATCACATTTTGTAATTATAAATTTGTAAATAAAAACTAACAACTCTTCAAAAGTGGTCAGTCAAGAAAAATGTGTATAAAGCCTACAAATCTCGCTTGATAATTATCATCTAAGATAATCTGAGTATCTATATACATATCTATAATCTGAAACATTTTCCCCAAAAATTAAGAATACAGCGGCATACTTTATTTTAATTAGGGAGTTCATATAGACATGACTTTTACTGAAAGCATTCGCTCTAAGGTATGACCGAAAAATATGAAATGATGATGAAAAATATTGCATTCTCTTCAAATATTTAGAAGCAATCTAGTTTAAAGATTGTTTAGAAAAGCTACGCTCGACAGTTTTACGCTCATTAGCCACGTAGGTGACAGGTGTCCCGGCTCTACCACAATAAATAGCTATTTACCAGAGGACGGCGGTACCGCTGTGGCGACGCCGGAAGATGTTCTCAATTTGTCGAGCCGAATGAGATTGTAGCTGCTTTCAGCATTAGGGGAGAGGCTTTTACATTTCACTTTACGTGGGCCGAACTTTATGTTGCAAAGCTAAACACGATACATTTAATTGTCTTTCAAGTATATATTAAAGTATCGAATTTTCTACAACTTCCTTAAATTTAACAATTGAATAAGTTAAAATAATGACATTTTAATTAAAACGTTCTATTTCAATCACTGTGATTTGGCAGTTATTAAGCAACATATTTTGGACTGTAAGAAAAGAAATAACATATTCACATTTTTTTAAACGTCATTATACGCTACGAACGTATAGATGATGTTATGATAAATTCAAATAAACATAATACAATAATGATTACCACATTAAACACTTTAATGACCTCTTATCACTTTGGAAAGCACAAAGTGATACTCATTTGGGTTTCCCATTGATGACAGAAATCACGATGTATTATGTTAGGATTCCCTAAATAAAATTCGTAATTAATAATAATTTCCTGAGACAAACAATTACAATTAAATTCATTTAAACTTTAAAGTCTCGTATCCGATCTGAAAAGGAATTTTATAGGTTTTTCATTAAAAGACAAAAGTTTTTTATAAGCCTTTCTTTAAAGATTCCCTCTTATACTTATTCCCAAAAAAAATACATTAACGATTACTTGCTTTTGAAAAGAGAATTTTATTTAAAATATTATACAGTTAAAATATTTTTCATGTTCAGAAGTCAAGAGTCACAAGAAATATTTACAATTTTTTGTATCTATATTTTAAATAGCACTAATTAATATAGAAAGGTTATCGATAAAATGACTGAACTTTTAGATATCAGTCAACTATAAAAAGTAAAACTGTGTAAATGAAATAAGTTCTTTGGAAGAGGCGGTTGATTTAAAAATAAAAAAAATGTTAATATGACTACATCAATAATAATTGTATTAATTGCTATTGTTAATGCTTTTGTCCAAATAACAAACGCCAGTGCCGAGAATGCATACGCATTAAGGTAAGTAAATTAAATATACTTTCAAGTCACTTAGATGAAGCATTAAATACATTCAAACTGAAACATTATTACTCTCAAACAAATGATGTAAAGTTTTTCTTTTTAATTTTCCCTTTTATTAAAATATTATATTTTAAAATTGTTGTTTAATAAAATTGAAATACATTTTTCAGTATAATGAGTTTGTTATTAAACTGTTATAAATTTATTTTCAGCAAGTTGAGAACTCAAACAGATCCTTATATGAATAATAATGATCGAGTAAGTTACAATGACATTACATTATGAACCCTATTTAACAATATATGCCCTAATTTCATTGTAATAAAATAAAAAATGTTTGCTTTTTTTGTTGTAGTTTATGTTAATTTAGTTCCCAATAAGTTAATAATCAAGAATTCTTTATTTAACTCAACTCTCAATTACACGATTGCATTAAAAAAAACGATATAAATATTATTTTGTTTTGAATATCTCTTGATAAATATTATTTTTACAGCAGCGGCATCACCAAACAAACAATTTTGCTAATGGAAACAATAAACACAACGTCATAAATGTGGACCAAACTAGTAATGGTTTTTCAGTGTCAAGTTATGAAGCTGATCGAAACATTAGACCGACTTCAACTAACTATAATGCTAATTTAAATAACCCAGACACATCAACCATCATTTCTAATGTATGCAAAGGGGTAGAAAACAGAAACCCGGTTTCTTTCAATAATAACAGACAGCAGACACGGAGAACTCAAACGTGGTTTTACCCGAATAACATACTATATGGAGGATATTTTCATAGACCTTTAAAAGAAGTACAAAATAATGCTAACATTGGTACAAGCAGTAATGATAACAAGGTCTTCATCGAGGGAAGAAGACTTAACATTTACCCAAATCAACCAGGTTAGAAAAGGATTATATAGATAGTGTATACAACCTACAACTGATAAGTATACAATGTACATATTACTTCACAATACAAAAAAGTCATCATTTAATATTATTTCATTTAAAAAATGTATCAATCAAGTCTATTAATCAATAAGTCTAATTTGTGAATACAAAACGATTCGTATTGGGATGGTCTTGATTGTACAAACTACCTTAAGTTCACAACTAGAATAGTTAACAGAGATTTTAGAATAGTTAACAGTTAACAGGGTTAATATATATGTATATATATTTATGTCAAATGTGGCAAACGAGCAGACGGCCTACTAGATGGGCAGTGGTGATCGTCGCTCAGTAGGACATCCGTGACAAAGACGTTGCGGATGCGTTTCCAACCTTAATAGTTGACGAAAATGGAAGGAATAGGGAAAAGGCAACCGACTCTCTCACTCATCGGACGAAACGCAGCCACTAAAGGCTACGTCACGCCGATCTCCTGTGAGAGGGTGGTACTTCCCTGGTTGAGCCAGCCCATATTCGAGCTGTAGTAACTTGGCTACAGCTAGGCTCTACCACCTACGAAAATACTATATATGGAAATAAATGTAATTTTAGATAATCATGGAAGAGATTCAGGAGTTCAAACCGCCAGCCCTGTAGTTGGCAACACACAATATCGTTATAATAGTGGAAATTTTGATGATAATAAAGCAAGAACACTCACTAATCGAATGGGTGGTGGAACTTATAACACGCAGAATAGTGGCCAAAACGGAAACAATGCAAGTAAGTAATAAAAACAAATGTACGAAGGAAGTAATAATATGACATAAAAGAAGAAAATGTCTGGACTCGATTACAATTAGATGTCGTTCAATAAAATATGCTCTACTGCTAAAATTTGTTTAAAAAAAAATTAAATGATCGTGTACAAATTGTACAACAATGGTTTTTGGAGATTTGTGTTTTATAATATCAATTACTTGTGATTACAGATAATTATCATGCCCGTTCCGGTGTTCAAAACGTACCTGATGATACTATATCGAGTCTTTATGACAGTACACGGTTTGTTGATAACTACGGCCGTGGTGAAAATAATAGAAATATTATTAAGATAGAAACCTCTTAATCCTTTTATTTTATGTATAAAATGTTACACTATTGTAATTATTCTTTATTTTGTTTTTTTTTTTTATTAAAAAAATGCTGAAAAAAAAAAACATTTTTTTTCCTTTTTCTTTATAAGTAAGGTTTATAATAAATGAAACCTGCTTTCATTTTGATAGTATTTAGCAAAACAGTTTTCCTAAACTATACATATTCGATAGTAAGCATTTTCAATATTAATAATAATAAATATTTGTCGGAGATACAGAATCGTCACGAACATCTATATAACTAAAAGTGAAATCAGCTTACTATAGGTGGAGAAACGCTAAGAATCTTCATAATTCAGAACATATTATCGAAATCTATATATTACTAATGACGTTAGTAAAGACTGATTAGATAGAGATTGTCAGATGTTTATTTTCTAAAGAGGATCTAATATCGGCAGTAAGTTTAATCAGATCCGATCAGATCTTGTAGTACTATGTGGAATACGAAAACCTGATTGGGAAGGACAGAGGAGAAAGTTTTGATTTAGGTATTTGGTCATCGGACAAAATACAAGATGTTCTAATATTTTGGACAATGAAGGCAATATTACTTATGAATTTATAATTTCAACAAGTTTATCCGTAGGAAAAACTTTATTTTTTATTACCAGGAGAAATTACTGAATAATGCAGTAATACGTTATTAGATAAGTCCTCTATTGTTAGGGATATAGGTCTACTGATTTGCCATATATTGAAGTATTAATAATGATTCATACTGTATCTCTACTGAAAATAAAAAAACATACACAGAAATAATGAAAAAAAGCAAATGTTTATATATAACATTTAGTTTATAAGTAATTTCAAAAATAATACAAAATTTTCCAGCTATAAACTGGGATGACTTGATAACTACTGTGAAAACTAGAAAAACTAATGTAAGGTGTAACTTTGGTCTTGAAATTGTCACATTTCAAATCTGAACCCTGTTCAAATTCTATGTACGGATAAAGTTATTATTCATTGTCTAAACACATGGAACTATGTATATGGATTCCTTAAATAATTTAAATATACCATCTCACCTTGGATAAAACAAAATGTTACTTAATTAGTGTTTCCTATAAATTATGCCAATCTCAATGTAAATGTATATATTCTAAGTCGGATTTTTAAGGAAGTGTTCTTGCATAAGTTGTAGTCATCAGAGTATATTGTATGTACTCGTATGCGTGAGGAGTATCGTTCCTTCACATGTTTCGCATCCTCCTTAGTTAGTATAACTGCTTCGCAGAAGAAGGAAGTGGCTTCGAAGTGCCTTTTGCTGTGCAGGATGGCCTGAACTAATGCCGGGTGTGATTGGTCGCTGCCACCGATCGGGACTTCCTGTACCTAAATATCAGATGCTTTACATTCATCGGATATGGGAACAGAAGAAAAGACAATGTAAAACATTATAAAATATAAGGAAAGAAATAAACGAAAAACGGATTAAATCTAATAAATTAAGCAAATGCAGGGTTTGAAATAGAATTACGTATTTTTATTGTTCTTATACAGATATGTACTTATTATATACACGTTCATATTTGTCATTTTATAAAGGTTGAAAAAACACGTCAGAAACAATGTATAACTAAGCTCCACATTACAATAAGGAAGTCTCTTTTATATGCCCAAAAATTTACTTCTAGGTAAATTGAATGAAATTCAATATATGTGTATCACTTAGATACATTTGTACCTATTTCAAAAATCCTCTCATAATTTCTTAAATTATTACATAATTAATTAACATGTTGCTTCAATCATTTTTACTTTCAAAAATTATTTTTACCCTTAAATAATATACCATCAATATTTTGACACATTTTCGTCCACAGACGTCAGGGTAGAATAGGTGTTTAATTTTTTTTGTGGATGTTTTTAATAATAATAATTAATGTAGAAAGGTTATCAGCAATATGACTGAACTTTATTTATCAGTCAACTATATAAAGTAAAGCAGAATAATTGTAATAAACTTTTGTGGAAGAAGCGGTCCTTTTCAACACATATACAAATATGACTATATCAATAATAGTTGCATTACTTACTATAATTAATGCTTTTGTCCTTATTATAACCAACGCCAGTGCACATAATGCATACGCATCAGAGTAAGTAAACCAAATATACTTTCAAGTTAGATGAAGCACATGTATGTACATTCGAACTGAAGTATTGTGTCAATGAGTGTAGATTTCTTCTAATGGTTTTAGTTGTGTTTTTATAATAATTTTATACTAAATTTTGTTTTTAAAAAATAATATATTATATTCATATCAACTTAATGAGTTTGTGAATCTATTCTTATTTGTTTAAATTTGTACTTTTTAAATTTGTTTTCAGAAATCGGCAAACCCCAGCAGAATCTGATTCAGTTTATATGAATAATTATGAGAGAGTAAGTTATATATTTATTAATAATTGGAAAAACACGTTATTGATCTTATGAAAAATAATCTCAAATATTGATTTTGTGACTAATAGTAACAGTTAACAATACAGTTGCAGTGTAAACACATTAAGATGAAACTGTTGATTATAAAGGGCTGTTTTAATTAAAATGTTAGGAGCAATATTTTAATTAAAACAACCCTTTATTTTTTGTTTATAATTTCAGATTTAGTACTTTTTTACAGCGTCACCAGGTTCAATTAAGTAACTTTGGTAATGGAAATTATAAACAAAACGTCATAAATGTGGACCAAACCAGTAATGGTTTTTCAGTGTCAAGTTATGAAGCTGATCGAAACTCTAGACCGACTGCAACTAACTACAATGTTAATTTAAATAACCCAGCCAGAACAACAGTTACCTCTAACGGGATGGGATGGGTTGGGACTAATGGGGTAGATACAAGAAATGCGTTCTCTATCAATAATAACAGACAGGAGCCACAGAGAACTCAATCGAGGTTTTTCCAGAATGGCGAAAATTCTGGAGGATCTGTTCACAGACAACAAATTCTAAGGGAAATACTTGAAAAGGCTCAAATCGGTACAGGCAATAATAATAACAACCAGATTTATGTCAACGGGGAAAGAATTGATATCTACCCCAATCGAGCAGGTTAGAAGATATACATATATATATGTATATATAAAGGCATTCCATTGACTCTTAGCAAACTAAAAAATAATATTATAAAGGAGAAGTAAAAAAATATATAAAAATAGGTTGTTAATTTTACTATATTTATCAGAATTTAAATAATAAAAGATATTATCCGAAACAACGCCTGATGGACCAGATTTCCTTCTTTCCATTTTATTTATGTAATATTTCAATCAACAGACAAATCCAGCCGGAGACTTCAAAAACATAGACCTTTATTAAAATCTATATTATCGGGATGTTCTCAATAGCTCAACGTACCTTTTTAATGCGGTAACAATAGGCAATAAATAAAAATTATATATTTTCAGATAATCATGCAATGGATAAAGCAGTTGAAAGTGGTATATCTTCAGTTGGTCCTACACAATTCCTTGTAGTTCTGGCAGTGTTGCTACGAATAAAGATTTTGTAAGACAATACAATCTTCGAAATACAATCATTACGTTCATTAAGTTTTTAGTATTAAAAATAATATTTTTTCCTTATTGCATTTGGCTTTCATTGGATAAAATTTATTGTGCTATTAGAAAAATTTAAGGACTTTTCTCGAGTCTTTTAGTACTAGGGATGGTCTGATGAAAAGCATTAAAAATATCTTTGGTATAGTGTCTCAATCATACTATAAAAAGAACTTCGAGATCGATAATAATCTTTAACTTGGATTTTAAAAGATTTTCATCGACTCGGTAAAAAAAAGCTAAATGTTCTTTCAACTAGGACTCCAAATTTGAAAAATTCATAAAACGTGTATAATGTTATTTTAATACCCATACTATTGCAAAAATAAAATAAATTAGGAATATCATAACAACTAGTACGGCTTTAAGAAATACATTTCATATAGTATTATGCTCTAATTAAATAATGAAATAAAACAATATACATATGTAAGACTATTGAAGTAAACATCTTACCGGTATCACCGACGCAATTTTTATGATTATGATATATTGTTAAATTATTTATTATTAATGATAAAATTATTTATTATTTATGCTATATTGTAATCTTATTAATTATCAATGATAGCACAGAACTGGTATGCCCACGGTGAAGTTCAAAATTTAGCTGAAAATATTATTTCTAATCTTTATGATTATACACAATTTGCTGATAACTATTTGTGTAAAAAATGTCTTACAAATGTAATGCGCATAGTCAAAATATTAAATAAAAAAAGTTAATACATTTTTTGTTTTCTTTCTTTGAATATAAAAAAATATCAGTTTTTTTTCTGTGTGACTGTTTTTTTTTGTTCGTTTTAGCATTTTAATTAACATTTATACTCTAAATATAAAACGATTTTATCTTAGCTTGTTTTTTATTTGCTTTATTAAAATACAGCTGTATTGATATTAATAAAAGATACCTTTTTAAAATTTATTAATATTTAGGACTAAGTAAAAACACGGCAAACGCTATTCATTAAATACAAAGCACATTTAAAAATAACCTGAAAATCAAAGTGTCTCAACTATGTACTTATATCTTCAGTATTAAAAATTAAGGTAAATTAATCACCAAAAAAATCTTAATCAAAAATCTTTAATTATTTAGTTTTCAAAACATGATATCTAAATTTAGCGTAGCTTTTATGCCAGTACACTGTTTATAATTATAACAGGTCCAAAAAATATATTGATAAAAATATCCTTTTAAACAACTCCAGAAGCAGTCAATAATAATTAAAAGGCATTTCAAATTATTATTTCGAGAATAGAACTGCTACTAAATAAATAATATACTGATAAAAAAAAAGTTTTTTAGTTAATCTGATTTCTCCTCAAAATTGGTACTCATTCCTTTTTTCGCTTTAAAAGTAAATATTTCTAAATTATTGATCTTGCAAACCTTTTAATTCTATTATTAATCTATTTTTTTAAGAATGTATTTGATTATTATTGACCAAAAATTAACTCTATCTAAGTAGTCGTGGTTGTTATCGGTTTTGTTTATGTTTAACCTCATTATGCCAGAATGGAAGTGGAATCGGCTAGAAGCCTCCCGAGTTTGAATATATGTTCAATGGCTTCTTTAGCAGGTATATTTTTATCATCATTTTTATAAGCTCTCTCTGGTGTGGGATCATAAGAAGAAATCTTTTACTATTGGGTGATTTTAGTCAATAAAGTCCTGATGAGAAAAAACACTTTTAATAACTCGGTATAATTCTGACATATGTATATTAACCTCTTTTATAATGAGTCCTTCAATGCGAGTGCCTATATTTGTAGATTTAAACATGATGGTTAAACTATTAACCAAATACGAATTTCTGTTTACTGTCAAATTCTTTTTCCATGAACCCATTTCTTGTACCAATTTTATGTATAAAAACGGCGATAAAACAATATCCAAAGTTATCATTTTAAAAATATGAATAAATAACGTCTGTTCTTACTCTAAGAAAAGACCTACATATTTTCTAATAAGAGTAAAGAGTAAAGTCATTATTTGTTGTTCGGTTAAACTTAAATTTATGCAGTCTTGATTGACTCTAATATTTTCAAGACTTTTAAAAAGCTCATTAACCATTTTCCTATAGGTTTTATTGCAATTGACATTTCATTTTTATTATAGCTTTTTATATACGAAAACGATTCGACAAAGATGTTTTTACCCATAAAACGCTATGATTAAAAACTGTTAACGACACTTATCTTAAAATTTATTTCATAAAAAAGATTAAACAAAATTAACAGTGTTTGACAACAGTTTCACCGATTTTTAAAATGTATAAAGCAATATGTTAAAAAAAGAAAGATCTCTAAAATTAAGATGTTTTTACAAATACTGACGAGGCTAAAATAACTGGGGTATTCTTCTGATCTTGGAAAAAAAACACATGACCTGGTGAAACTTATGTAAAGTTTTATTATGATAAAATAACATAAACAAAATACAATATTACGTACATTAAAGACATCATATCACTTTGGACAGCACAAAATGATACTCATTGGGTTTTCCCATTACCGACACAAGTCTCGATACCTTTTTTAGGATTCCGTAACTTAAAGAAGTCAAAATTTCCCTTTATTATTAATAATAAAGTTTTAATTTTATATTCTATATACTAATTTACTAATAATAAATATCACAAAAACTCGAAGTTTAATAATGGTAGCAGTTTTATAAATTAAATGAAACTATTATTTTTTGGATTACTACACGTTTTTTATTATTTTTAAAAGCTACATACTTCCGACGTTTCGAGTAGTTTACAGCAACCGTGATGACGTGCAGACGAGATGTGAATGTCTGTCAGTTGGTCTTGTTATTTGTCATCTACCACCAACGATTTCTTAATTTTCTGGCATACTTCTCTGGATGCCTTCAGAATGCGCTCACGGCAAGACGAAGTCCTGGGGTGTAGTAACGGACATGAGATTATATGTTTTTCATGAGGGGGTCGAATATCATTTATATCCCCTACCAAAAGGTACAACGTTAAAATGCACTATTGACTTCAAAATGATATGAGGTAGATTGAATTTTGCATATTAAACGGGGTTTCTATAATATTCTCGGGATTATGGTTAACAATCTTTACAATCCCGAGGATATAAGATACGTGGAAATTTTAATCTGCAAAATTGATATCAGCAGAAGTTGAAAATACCTAAAGTTAAGTGAACGAATTTTTTTTTATAGAAATGTCCTCTTGTCCCTAATATTACCTTGATTTCAATGGCCATAGAATTTAAACTAGCTGAATGCTTCTGTCTATAATAAATATTAATCATCCAAAATATTTTCATCTTAGATGTATAATACATTTGTAATCTGATACGGGAATTTGAGGATTGCGTTTGTTAAGACCCCAGCTTTTTAACAGACTTTTCTAAAAGCCCTATTCTTTGTTTCTATTAAGTAAAAAGAAATTAAAAATATTAATAACAAAAGCATTTTGCTTTCTGTGTCAGTTTTCACTTAAAATAATTAACTCTATAATTTTTCTCAAAATATTTGACTTGTACAGAAGTCGGGGGTAAAAAAAAATAAAAAAAAATTATTATATATTGTTTTAATGGCACTAATTAATATAGAAAGGTTATCAATATAACGACTGAACCTTTAGATAACAGTCAACTACGAGTATATAAAGTAAGACGTAAATGAAATAAGTTTTGTGGAAGAGACGATCGATTTTCGAACATCTTGTGTTAATATGACTACATCATTAATAGTTGCTTCAATTGCTATTATCAATGCATTTCTTCATATAACCAACGCCAGTCCACAGAATGGATATGCATCAAGGTAAATAAACAGTATATATACGTTCCAGTTACTTAGATGAAGTACTAAGTACATTCATACTGAAACATTATTCCAATGTGTTTAAATTAGGTTTTAGTGGTTCTTAATTATAAGAAATCTTATTATTAACGTATATACTTTGTATTGATCATTACTTTATTTATTTTTTAATCTAAACGCCAATCAAAATATTTTGAGTAAAATTGAGCTAATACTAAATTGTTTCCTTTGTTCTTTATAATATAAGTAAAATATTACATTATTGAAATGTTATCTATTGAAAAATATAATTATACACATATCCATATAAACCTGTTAATATTAGTATATTGTGAATTAACTATTACAAATCTATTTTCAGCAATGGGCAAAATCCATCACAAACTGATGCTTTTTATATGAATAATAATGCCAGAGTAGGTAATATCTATTTGTTTTAAATACAAGCACATGTCATTTAAATTTTATTCTCTAATGGATAAAAAATAAATATAACATTTGCTGTTTATGTAAATTAAGATAGATGGTTAATTAATTATTCATTATTAAGAATTATTTGAATCAAAGTATTAGAAACAGTAATGAAAATCATTTTGCGTTGAAAATGTATTAATTAAAAAAAATTCTTCCAGGAACGCCCTCTTCAACGAAGTAATTTTGGTAATGGAAATTATAAACAAAACGTCATAAATGTGGACCAGACCAGTAATGGTTTTTCAGTGTCAAGTTATGAAGCTGATCGAAACTCTAGACCGACTGCAACTAACTACAATGTTAATTTAAATAACCCAGCCAAAACAACAGTTACCTCTAACGGGATGGGATGGGTTGGGACTAATGGGGTAGATACAAGAAATGCATTCTCTATCAATAATAACAGACAAGAGCCACAGAGAACTGAATCGAGGTTTTACCAGAATGGTGAAAATTCTGGAGGATCTATTGACAGACAACATGTTTTAAAAGAAATACTTGATAAAGCTGACATTGGTACAGGGAATAATAATGATAACCAGATTTACGTTGACGGAGTACGGATTAATGTCAACCCTAATCCAGCAGGTTAGGAAAAAAAGATGAAAAACATAATCTATTAAATTTTTTTTAACTTACGAATCCCAGAACTCCAACATAAATAGAATAAAATATGCGTTACTATTGACAGTAAAAATCCACACAAAAAAAATTATAGAATAGATAGAATCAGAACTTTTTATGTCATTTTAGGCTGTTACTTTTGCAGTAGCATATGCCATACCATTGTAGTTTCGCATATCTATATTTATAACTATATATATTAATCGTAAATAAATATTATTTTAGATAATTATTATGGAAGAGATGCAGGAGTTCGAACCGGCAACCCTCTTATTGGCAACACACAATATTCTTATAATAGTCGAAATGGTGAAGAGAATATAGCAAGAACACTCACTAATCGAATGGGTGGTGGAACTTATAACACGCAGTATAGTGGCCAAAACGGAAACAATGCAAGTGAGTATTAATATCAAATGAAAGAAGAAAGTCATGAAAAGAAATTCTAAACTGATAAAATGCTTTCAATATTACAGAAAGCAACATGAAAGCATCATAGCATCGCGATCTTTAATATGATTTCTTAAACTTGGATCTTATAAAATGTAAAACGTAACTAGTATTAATGTTGTAAATTTACATTTAGCGTCACCCGAAATGTATTTTAAAATAAATTCATACAAGCATTTCAATATTATTGTACAATTCTCTAAATGGGAATTGAAACAAATTTACAATAATTACATGTGGGGTCAAACACTATTACAGCTTTAAAAAAGGCCATAGTGCATTTTACTTTAAATCTATATATATAAAAGAAAGTCGTGTTAGTGACTTCACTTATAACCCAAGAACGGCTGAACCGATTCAGCTGAAAATTTTCAGGGAGATAGTTTAGAACCAGGAAATTGCAATAGGATACTTTTTATCCCGTTCGACAGCATTCCCGTGGGACTTGACATGAAACGTCAGTCACTATAAAACGTGGAATAACACAATTGACGTATAATGACAGATATGTAATGACGTATGGATGACAATTAGATATTTGTAAGAAATCTACTATATAAAAATAAAAATATTTAGGTATTGTGTTTGTAGATTGAACTCTTAAAACCATTTAGTATTTGCGGGATAAATTTAGAAAATCATTGTTTTTCACATGGGCAGTTATATTCTGCGTGTTCACGAGCTTGGAAACCATACGCTTTATTTGTGTTAAAGTTAGACCAAAAAACAAAAAATGTGGTTTACAAAGGAGCACTTCTATGAAACGGATAATTTGCGGACACGTATAACGCTTCGATTCGGTATCTACTTTGGATTCACTTTCATTTACTTAGACAAGTTCAACTAAATAACACTTCATTTTTGTAATCGAAACGAATTCATTACTGTTGTGAAATGAAATAAAAATTTTCCTTTTCAAATATAAAACAAAAAATTCTTCATCTTTTAATCACCAAACGAAATGTTCTACATATAAAAGCCTTCTGGTGGCGAAACGGAGTTCGCCAGGTTTACTAGTTTATAATAAAACGTAATATAATAGTGGACTATCTGAATAATCAAAGCAAAATGAAACTTAATTTCATGATATTTTTTTAAATTTAATCATTTAATAATAACTTGTGATTTCAGATAACTATCACGCTGGAGCACAAAATGTACCTGATGACATTATCCGCAATCTCTATGATAGCACCCAAGTGGTTTATAACTATGGTAATGGTCTTAATAATAAAAATATTATACAAATTGATAATATCCGAAACACAGAGGATAGACGGAGATTTAATGATCGTCCAAGAGGAAAATTGGCAGTGGAGAACAATAATAGGTGTAGTAACATTTTTAATGATGAAACCTTAAAAGTATTACCGTTTAATCCTAACATTTTATAAAATCTTTTTGAGTTTTTTATCTTTAAATATAAAAAGGAAAGTTAAAGATTTCTGTTAATCTGTGTATGTCATTGTCTATGTCGTTGGAGATGGTAAATAAATATGAAGATTTTGAATGAATTAAATTATTTAAATGTTTTTATATCCTATGAACCTACTTTCGATTTAATAATATAAAGATCTCAGCTTCCAAGTTCCTTCAGAAGTGCTAAGTTAAACTAAACTAAGTTTAAATATTTATTACTGAAATTGTTTAACTTGAGAAAAACATAGGTTATTACTTAAATTTAATGTATATTGAAATTCAAAGAGAAGTTATTTATTATAAGATATATTTTATTCAGTGTATTAGTTATAATTCTCAAATATTGTGCATATTACATTAATCTTGATTATTGTGAATTAGAATTCTGTGTTTGTATTTTATTAGAATATAAATCCGATAAAATTAATAATTACATAATGGTAGGTATAATAAAAAATAAATATTTCTATTATATACTAGCTAGAAATGTTGCAAAGTTTTTTTTTGTACATCTCCTTTCTTATTGTATGCCTTATTCTGACATTTTCAGCAGCTAATAACTTCAAATGTAGTTATAATTACATAGTTGTGTTGTTTATACAAACAATACCACTTATGTTTTTAAAACTAATAATAAAATATCACAATGTTAACTTTTATGTAGAGAGATAATAATCTATGTAAAACTCTTTTAAGAAAAAAACACAGATGTACGAAACTAAGCAGAACATTTATAAATAACTAGCTTTCCCACTGCAGCTTCGCCCGCGTGGAGTTCGGTTATATCGCGTTTCCAAGAGAACCTTTCAAAAGTCTGGGATAAAAACTATCCTATATTCTTTCTCAAGGTCAGCTCTATCTCTATACCAAATTTAATTAAAATCAGTTCAGTGGTTTAGGCATGTTAGATTAACAGACAGTCAGAGTTACTGTCGCATATATAATATTAGTAGGAATAAAAGTGTACATAATTTATTAAGTTTTAACTGAAAGATACATTACAAATGACACATATATGCATGAGATGTATAAAACAAGTTACTTTTCTATATTAAGATATTAAAAATAGAACAGACAGAAAAAGAAAAGACACGCTGCCATCACAATCTCTTGCTTAAGGAAGCGATTTATCCTCCCATTAGAAGTTATCACTTTGATAAAAACATATGGATGGTTTTCATAGAATACAAAACAAAATTTAAAAGCAAGAATTATCAGTAAAATGAAAAATTAAAGAGGATTGAATACTAATGCCATTGAACATTAAGATATAAGATTAAAGCATTGATTAAGAACCTTTTAATATCTATTCTAGAAATTTACTGTCTGTAATAAATATTCAGTGAGTATACATACTGTTCATAATTATAACTGCTTTAAGAAAATGTATTTATTTAATCTCTTTTTATGAATAAAGATTTAAAACATCTCTATAAGGGCCCCATGACAAAATGACATTTGTAATTTTTATTTTTGGAACGTTTGCCACAACCATTAACTAAATAATGTTCTGATAACAAAAATCAGAGGATGATACTTGACATTTTGACAATTTGTTGTTTTATGAGATTGGTTATGTTTTTTGTCTAATATGATTTGTCTTCAGTATCCAACTTCATATTTTTCTTTTTATTGAAAATATCTAAGTCATCGATTTCTTAAACCAAATAACACTATTTTTGATAAATTTTTTGTTGAACAAGGTATGTTTTAAATTATATTTTTTTTTTTGAGAGCTGTTAATTAAATCTATCAACTAAATAATATTCTGATAAGAACTTTTAAAAATTGATTCTTTACACTTGATAACTTTCTTCTTTATTCTTTAATTAGCTATATTGTTAATATTTTTCAGTTAACCTCATTTGTCTTTTTTCTTTTTTCATATTTCTTTGCTTGTGAAGTTAACTTTTCGAAGTTACTGTTTTGGTGACCATTTTCCCTTTTTTACATATTTTTTTTTAAACAAGGTATTTGAATTATATTTTGTTTAACTTTTCATTACAAGTGTCATTGCCAAGTCTTTAATTATTTGTGATTGAAGTTTGTTTTGATTTGTTATTATGTTGATTGCGATTTCAGAAAAAACGTCGAATCTGTCAGAGGACTCCTAAATTTAAATTGGTCTTCAACAGTTTTTTATCTCATGTTCATTGTTATCCTAATTTTGAATAGTTTGTTACATAACTTTAAGCTCCTCACATAATTATAAGAACCTAACAACTAATATTTAATTTACCAAGTAGGTTTTATCGGTTAAATACTGCACGTGCTTCAACTTTTCCAAATTTACAATCTTAAGAAATTTACTTTCATATTTCCTTTCCTTAGCACTTTTCCTCACATTATAAAATTAAATATAAATTGTGTAGTAGTCTAATAAAGTTTAGAATTAACACTCTTATTTTCTTTCTCAAATATCCTAAAGCAGTAGACTTCCTAATAGCACGAAGCATTTAAATAAATAATTTATTTTTTCATCTATCTCAAACATATGCACCTATTCGATTATATGCAGTCAGAATTGACAAGTAATATTTTTAATTAACTATATAGGGCAGCGACTGTAGGTTCCAGGAAAGCTATGAATACTACTAAACTACTTACTTCTATATATATATTATAATAAAAATATTATATTAAAATCTATAACCTATACCTAAGACTATCTGATTGCCCTGATGTTAGGATAGCAATCGCCATTCTATTGCTTGTATATGTATGTAGTATCAAGAATATTTTGGTTCTCACGGCTTGGCGTTCGTTCCACGGAGTCAGCAGCCTCACTCGTTATATGATATCTTATCTATACAACAATGGTTCCCTGGCGATGTTCACTTAGTTTTTTAATATGTTGCGAGTACGTAAAAAAATACCTTAAATAATAATATAGACAATGCACAAATCTTTTGGAAAAAACATATAATTTTAATCCGCCTTAAAGGATAACAGAAAAACAGTTCCTAATAAAATTTAGTATTTAAATATATTTTATTATTTTACTTGAACTGACTTTGTAAAATAGTAGAAAAAAATAATAGTAATTGTATACAGTTTTAATTAAAGTTTTTTTACTTCATAGCAAGCGTTTTAATTTCTGTATATGATTGCTGTATCTAATTAAGTTTTTATTATAATATTATTTTCTTAATGGTTTAGCTATAACCAAATTATAGACTTTATCGTAGGTTATGTGAGGGGTCTTAATTTGAAACTAAGTGATGTTTTGAAGTTTGATTAAAGTGCTCATTTCATATCTGTCTAAAAAGTCTTTGCTAATAACAATACCAGTTAATTATAAAAATAAAAGAAAATTAAAATATAATATAAAAATTCCCTATTTAATAACAAGTCTTTTCTGTATTAGCAATGATAAAATATCAGATATTAAAAAGTGATAAATAAAGAAAAAAAGAGCATGTACAAAGTTTAAAAGCTTAAAAATGTGCTTAAAATTATGTTCTTGTCTGTGAAACGTAAAAGCTGGACAATTGTCCTCTTTGCAGTCGCTAAAGACGATAAAAAGAAATAGAGAAGATTTATTTGTAATATCCAACATAAATCTTATTTGTTCCTAACTATTTTCTTACTTTGTTTAATCATTATTTTGTATTCAATAGATTTTATTTTGAAATTTATATGCAAAATACATATTTATTAAAAATATACATATTTTTTTCATTCAAATAGAAAATACAAATATGCGAAAAATTTTATTTCAAACAATGAGTTCTCGTGGGCCAATACTTTAATACACCTTTGTCGATACGGGCAACAATTTATAATCCTCTTGATTTTGATTTAACATCGCTTTCAAAATATTTAAATTTTGAACCTTTGTTATAACATCCACTTGCATAGATCTAGAGGTATCCTACGTAAAAATGTAACAATAGTAGAAAACAAAAAGTATATCGGATATAGGTAAAATTAAAATAACTGTCGTCAGACTAATAATTTATTCTACATAAGCCATTACTTCGGAAATGATCCCAGTACGTAAAAAACTACATTAGACCTATATACTAACCTTGTACAGACTTGATGGCTTGTAAGCCCATCGAGTAAAAGATTTAAAAAATTACTGTGGTCAGTACTTGCATCGAATTAAACTCTTAAAGACGGAAAATCACTTTATATATACTTTAAAAGCAAAGCAGTAATGATCAGTACCTTCAAATGTGAATTCGGTATAGCTTTTCTGGAACCCTCAGTTTTAACGTATCTATTATTTTTGCCCCTACCACAGTAATAGTTCTATATGGGATAAAATATTTTAAATTTACCTTATCTATAACAAGGACACCTGCTTCAACCACAAAAACTGTGCGTCTTTTAAATGGGTTCTTGCAAAAAAAAAGAGCGTTTCATTAATATAAATGACCTCGAATACACTACTTGTTAGAAATAATATGATAATATTTTAGCGTTCGTAAGTAATTGTTGCCCTAGATCCAAAAAAAAAAAAAACAAAACTTCTGACAGTCGGCCATAACTTGTCTTCACTCTTCTATAGAATTTACCATCTTACGATTTGTTGTCTAAATGACTGATGGCTGATTATTTTTTTCTAAGACCGTGTCTTAAAAAATATATTACTTTAAAATGAAAATTTTTTTGGTTTGCTTATCATATGTTGCCATTGGGTAAGAAATGAAAGATAATAGCTTATGTTTGAGTTATATTTAGTTTCGTATAGACAGAACACACTAAATACAAGTCAGTGGTGGCCTAGTGGTTAGAGGGCCCGCCTCTCGTTGCCGAGGGCGCGGGTTCGATCCTGGCCCGGGCAAGTACTATTGTGATTTTTCCGAGTCATATGTACTTTCTAAGAATATTTAGACCTCACTGATTAATGATGATTCCCAAAAAAAAAAGAGGGTTGATGTCAGGCACGGGAAACGATCGTAAAAAACAATCAGCCAAAACTATTTACACATGTAAGGCAGACCCTTACATGCAGAATACTTACAGGCAGAAAAAAAGACCCTGGCTATAGCCAGGAAATTGCCAGGTAGAAGAAGAAGAAGAAGACAGAACACACTATTACAAAAAGAACATGCTTCAAGATTCTAAATAATTAATTTGTAATTAAAGTCAAAAAGTTATATAAATTTCACATTTTACAGTGACACGATAATATGTATATTATAATAAATCTTTAGGCCTTTTAGAGCCATTACTTACATATTTACTAATGAATATATCTGTATAACCAATGTATATAAATAAATGCATGAACGTTTACTTGTACATTAGTGTATAAGATTAATAGTATTGTTGTTACATTTCTTTTGTTCAGATTTTACAGAAGTATAGTGGAATATTTTTTTTTTTTTGCTCAAAATCAATAACCTTCTATTTTAAAGGAATGAATTTAAGTTTAAAATGTTTTAACATATTTAATGATGAAAAGGTTTATATAATATGGAAATGAAATTAAGGATGAAAAGGTTTTAACATACTTTAGAGTTTATTAAATGCAATAACATATATAATAGGTTATGATATTAATAAATTTATTAGCAGTATTTTTATGTGAAACAATATTTGACGTGTGAAAAGCAGTTTTATACCTTATAATTTGAATTTAAAAAACGAACACATATATATTATACTATTTTCCTTTTTTGGCACAAACTAATAAAGAAACCCCTAGTGAATAAAGAAATGTGAATTTTCTGTCAAAATAAATATCATACGTAGGATGCCAATTTAACATTCATTTGACATAACCTATTACAGAGTCATTTAGATTTCATCAATTTTTTAATAAAATGCTTACAAGTGTTTTTCTCAACTACTCGCAAAATACAATAATATGTGTTTATGTCACTAATTAAATGTATTAAGCTACATATTCTGATCTTGATTTAAGGACGTAAAACTTTTATTTCATCCTAAGTCTATTGCTTAAAAAATCTGTCAATTCCAAATAATTATCTGCCATCTAGGCAGCATTTTGTTTTATTATAAATAATCATATTTGTAAGAAACTAATCACAAATACATACTAGACAAAAAACTGATGTGGTGCTTAAAGATCTTTAAAATATTAGACGTTTAAGTTATTTCTTTTGTAGATATAAATCAATTTCTCTTCTTTCTTCTGGAAATACTTGAAAATATGCAGGTACATATAAATACGAGTAAAAAAATCAAATCTATTTAAATTAGTCTGCGAAAATACAAACAGTCGCGTACCTACTCGTATGTTTTGAACATTAATTTCTCTTGAAACTTTTGAACCCTAGATGAGTTTATTTGACTATAGCAACTTTGCTATCCTGTATGGCAGAACTGTTAGTAAAATATATTAATATTTGTAAATTGCTTGTTATATGTAATAGATATTTTATTATAGAATTTTGTGTTACATCGTGATATACGACAAGATATTTTTTTCTTTATTCTTCTTTAGAGGCGATTCTATAGAATATATACTCTAACGTATTCTTTAATCGATAAAAATAGCATTCAGGTCAAGTAACTACAATATAGCTAATTTCTTGATTTGTTTTTATTGTGTTTACAAATTATTTGTGACTTCTTGTCCAGTTATCCTTGAGACTTTATGTTGAGATAATCAATAATCTATTTATCTAGAACACGGAACTTCAAGAAATAAATAATAATAATTAAATAGCTTTTATTTAAAAATCATATTTCATATTTTAAAACATCATGGCTTAAAATGTAGGCTTACATCTACCATCTGATGTACGTTTATAGCCAGTGGAACATCCTGCTGCAAAATTTTCTCTTCCTTCCTTCTTTGTTGTTGTTGCCAAAGGTGAAGATGTAGAAGGGGAAGACGGAAAAATCAGAATCTCTTCAGTTGTACTTGTTTTATCTGTAGTTATCCAAAGATCATCGGAAGCTGGAAGAACAATGGCAGAATTGTTATTTATGCTTTTCTCTTTCCTTGTATCATCAGGGTCAGCAAAAATAATTTTCTCTTCGTTATCTTGTGTAATATTAGTCGAAACGGTACTCGGAGGCTTACTATCTTGATTTTCTCTCTGATAGCCATCAGTTGACATATTTTTATTATTATTTTCCTTTGGTCTGAACAAATTATGGACATCATCGTGTACTTTGTGAATTGTATCGTGAATCTTATCAACAAATCCTATAACTAAACCACTCTGGGCATTTTCAAGTAATGTTATAAGGACCACAGAAAAAAATATAAAATAAATATTAATCTTCATTTTCAAGTTGTTACCACAATGAATGCTTCTGTTTCAACTGATCGTTAAGTTTCTGTATTTATACGGAGATAACATCATTGACCTATAGGTCTAAGTCAACGAAGATTATATTATTTGATAATATAATTCGATTCTAAGAAGAATTTAATATAATGATACAATTGTTATTTATGTTCTCCAAGGTTTTATTTCTACAAGGTTTTATATATTCTTATTTTCTAATAACTTGACCTAAAAAAGAAAAACAAACTGTTTGAGATCTGCGCTACACATTGTTCAATATTTTATATGCGGTAAATTAATTTTATTAAATAACATTTCATCATATTCATAAGTTCGTAATTCTGAATGTTGATTTTATATTTTTATTTCTAATAACATATAACGTTCAGGAAAGATAACATTTTCCTTAACAAACATCCTTATAAACTTACCATTATATTTGCTGTCGACATTTTCTGTGTTGATCGCGTCTATAATTATCGGGACATTCAAGGTCCGGAACTCTTATAATTTGACTGGATTGTAAATTTTTTTCTGTTGTAGATGCCATACGAAGTTTTTCATGAAAATTGAACACCACCCCAGATTCCGCAGATATAATCACAGCTGCAATAGTTATTATACAAAACACGGCCTTTACGTCCATTTCAACAAAACGAATTGTCTTAACTGCGTCACACTGACGAATCGAAATTCTATAGTGTTGCACAATCACCAAAGATTTCTACACACGCCCTTCACATCTGGGAAACTTCCGTCTGGACACTTTTTGAGTACATTGAGAGGAACATCTATCATCTTTGTACCCGTTCTCACATCCTTTCCCTTCTCTGTATTGTACGCATGATTTTCACTAACACTTTTCGGTTCAGATGAATTCGAGCGAGATAACAATTTGATAAAGTCACTAACAGGATTCGCAAATAAACTTTTAAAATCTAGAACTGAATATGGTGATGCGCTAACATGTATCAGTAATTGAAGAATAACAATGAACACAGCTAGGTGCGTGAACGGACGCGTCATTTTATATGAATAGAACACATATGATATCGACTACTCACTTATCATTGACAACACGCAATCAACTAAATAACTATAGTTATTCTAAACTGTACATTAGATTGTGTTAATTTTTTATTCACAATTTGTTTATCTTATATAAGAAAAAACTTATTGAAAATGTCCCCTCTGTGGGGTAAATAACTTCTCTAACTTTAATATACTGGTTATAATAATATACTGGCAAGAAACAAGTTTTTAAATTACTGGGCATTTATATAGCTGATAGTAATAACTCAAAAATCTTCAACATCTGCTTTATGTCCTCGCTATCTGAATTTATAGATAATTTTTATCTTTTATCTTTACTTTGAAATTATTGTCAATTATTATCAAACATATCAGTAGACAAATGGGGAACTACCTTAAATGTGATATTAATTTTTATACGATATCATAGTGTAATAAAATAACTGATAAGTAACAAAAGTTATGGAACGTGGTATTTAAAAAAAATACATGTTTTTCCTTATGTGCTAAGCTTCTAAGAAATTACCAAGCAGATAATTAACCCTCTGGTAACTGTCTATTACCATGAACACTAGACTTATGTATGGGTTTAGTCTTTATCATCAAAGAACATACCTAGAGCGATATCTGTTACTCATTCAATAATGTATGTTTATACTATAATGTGACGAGATTTAGTAACAAAAACTGTTGATGCATTGTAGGCATATGCATATATACTATTCTGTGTTTATTGTACTCTCATATAACAACCAAAGCAGTATTTCTATATTTCATAGAAAAAAACATGCAAAGAATATTGACGAAGATATGAATCATTTTCCTCAACGGACAGATAAAACTCGAGATTTCATATTGCAATTATTTACTCGAACTATTCTTAATATCAAGATATAAGATAAAATCAAGCGTAATAAAATTGCTTTGAAAAAATATTATTTAATCAAAACAAAACAAGAATCAAGAACAAAAGAGAAATTACGAAGCGTTCAAAATGAATTTTTCTGAAAATTCCAATTGATGCAATAAATATAGTTTTAAAGTGAAAAACGTAAATAAAACAGTTCAAAACATAATCGAACTATCGATTCAATTCAAATAAAAAAATAAGTTATTAATAAAAAGTATTGCATTCACGAAACTTAATAAAACCTAACTTTGTTCGAAATACAGCACACCTCTTTTTATTATGAATACAGAGAGCTCTCTGTTCATCATTGTAAAATTCTCGTTAGTAGAGCCCGCAATACAAACTCGCTTCGGTGAGTTCATTCGTTCGTAGTGAAGATGGCTAATTTTCTCGAAATAACTGACCAATTTCAAACTTTTTACAATTTCATTACAAGTTAAATTATAAGATAACCATGATCAAAGAAATTTCAAAAATGTAATAATAATATCATTAATTATTGAAGACGGATCCGTGAATTAAATTTAACTAAATACTGTAATTGATTTATAATGAGAACTGAATTCTGAATTGTATTTTCCTCGTTACTCGATAGTTTCTTTTATTCTAATTGTCTGTTTTGAAATCTCGGCATTTCTCTAACGACAATACTCTTTATTGGATATGTAACTTGTGCTGCTTGTGATGTTACTTGTTTGCCTACGACATGTCTTTCTTTTACTTAATTTGACAACTTGAAATAAATGAAACTTACCTTTGTCATTAATGAATATTTTTTTTATTAATAACTTAACTTTATTTGTAGCTTACAATGTTAGTATTTTTCTAATTTTTAAATGAAGACTTGTATGACTTATATGATTGCTCTCTATTATTAATTCAAAATAAAATACCAAGTACTCCTAGAAGCAAAATAAAATATTATTTTATACATTGTAGATCATTCAAATACCAAAATTTTATATTTAAAATAAAATTATAATAAAATTCAGAAAATCCTTTGACAATAACATTACCTGTATGAAAAATTCTGGAAAGGCAGGGCGAGGATGAGAGCTATTTTGTAATTAAAATGCTTACCCCCCGTGATGTTGCGTTGTATAACACACTTCTAATATAATATATGAAAGCTAGGAATAGAAAATAAAGCAAGTAAGCATTAGTATGATATCGGAAAATAAAGATAGTTTGCAAATACGAATTTTATTTTAACGAACAATTTCGTACAATGGTATCCATTTACTCATAATAAATCGGATTTAATACTTCAATTTTTAACATATACATTTCTTCTGATAATCAGTGCATACAGCTGAAATAAAAATACATCTACCCATCTGGATTGAAAATCCCTTCAATGTTTTAACATTGAAAATAACCACCATTCAGCCATCAATTTCAATCATTTTCAATTATATCTTTTAAAATAATATTTAAACCTAAGGATTTAAAAAAGCAATCACTTATAATAAATATTTCAAGTTATTGTAAGTCAAAACAAAACAATAATTATTATAAATTTTCATTTAAATTCAAATAGTAAAAAAAATATTATTCAATAACACAGTAAAGTTGCACACCCTCCATCTTTTAGCATGCTTCACCATTTTGTGAATAATAATTACGAGAAAGTTAATTTCATAGTTTATTGTAATCAGTACATATAAATATTCCAATGTTCTCGATATGTCTTTGACATAACTTTTGTTTATTTATCTTGGGTACCATTATTTTCGATCTAGCTACGTATGAATATTACGTACGTATGTTAACTCATATCAATATCGTATTAATTTAAATATGTTACTTATTTAAATTTCAATAAAAATAAAACATTGCCATAGGAATGATCCGATAAATGCCACGCTGTTTAGAAAACAAGCTCCTTACACGGATAGAAGGGATTTTAATATCCTTAAGTAGTGATGATACTGGTTTTCTTTCCTATAAAAGACTTGCAAAGTAATCCACAGACGGCGAGTTGAAATCTCGAAAATCTGCTTTAGTCATCTTTCTAAATAAATAGGGTCCGATATCTTTTCAAAGAAATGTTTGTATTAAAATCAGAATAAAGATTATTTGGCTGAAGGGGTGAATATTCATTTAGTGACATTCTTTGAAGTACATTTATCATATCTTTTACGTTTTATATTCATTTATTCATTTCTTGTAATGCTAAAATATAAAATTAATCAAATATACATGATAAGGACAAAATATGTATACTTAATTTAAATATAACAACAATTTTGTAATACCAATTCATTGCTTCGATTTTAAATTCTCCAGTCGATTGTAAAAAAAACTCATAGGTTTACTATATAATATTATGTTCAAATTTATGCTATTAGAAAAATAGGAAATTGTTTTAAAAATACTTGAAAGAAACGCCTTAATGAATTGCTATTATATATTAATAGGAGCAAAAGAATAAATAGCAAAAAAGCAATTAGTATTCTAAAACAAATAATAATTCAATGAAAAAGTAATATTTTGTTTTGTTCTTTATTACAAACTTTTATTCATGGCAAGAACAAATCCTAGAGTTTTTTAACCTAAATGAACAAGACAGTGAAATATAAATTCCGATCCAAAATCAGATTTTTTAAGAAGTTACATGATTTTCCTACAAATTAATATAAATTAAAACCTATGCACCTATATGAATATTATTCAATTATATAACGTAAAAATTAAGATCCCATAATCACATTTACCTGTAACTTTATTTGAATGTATTAGTCTCAAGTTAAATTACGATTCGTTTTAAACTTTTTGGAGAAGTGGAGTTCGAAAACGCTATTATAAAATTCAGCAGTTTACAATCACAAACCAACTTAGCGATGGCAAAAAAATGCCTTGGCGGAGAACTCGTTCTAACTTTTCCTATTTTTCTGCGTTAATTTCACCTGGACCATTACAGTTTTGCAACATTTCTTAGTGCGAACATTTCTATTACGATGCTTAAATTGCATTTTTAATGACTTTTCTTTGGGGTGTTCATGATAAGGGTAATATTCAAAATCGTAATAAGCAGATCTTGTTCTATCTTAATACTACTCTTAGAATATTTTAGGGCACAAAACATTTCATACACAACACCAAATTTTTAATTAAATTCTCATTAAATGTATGGTTTTTTCATGAATTACAAGTTTGTGAACTCCCAAATGGTACATCTATGTTCATTTTCTTAATATAAATATAAAACACTAAATGTCAAGGCTGATCCAAGATTAGCAGCAAACTTTAGCAATGAAATGTTAAGGATGAATAAGTTAATTGGCCCCCGGAGCGTATCGGGACTCCTGTGGCACAGAGGAATGCATTTAAATTGGATTTTAAGAGTAGAAATCACCGACGAGGTCTCCGCCTCCCTCGGCCTTGTTAGAGTCAATCTTTGAGTTTACGTAAACGAATACAGATCTAAAGATCATTGATAGTAAATCGACTTCATTCATATAACATTATTAAAAGTACTACATATTTGAATTATTATTTACAAAATTGTCTAAACAAAAGAGTTCAAAAATATTATATTTAACATCTTTTTCTTGTGCATGTATAGAATTTTAAAATGTCACATTTACGTATAAAAAAGATGTCATACAAAGTTTAGAAAATTTATAAGTAATATTGAAACAATGTTTTTATATAAATACTAGAAGACCCTGCGAACTTCGTATCACCCTATAATAAAGAAATATCTGTTACGTTTTTTTATTTATAATATATCTTTGGAGTTTACCTATTAAAGCCATAAATCTCCGTGTTTTGAAGTGCGACAGAATGATTGACATATTAGTTAGTTGTCAAATCTAATGTCAAAAAAAAACGTTTGTATCAACAACTACTAATAAATTAAAAATTAATTAAAAAACATTATCACGCGGACAAATTTGTGAATCTAAATCATTCCTAGATCCCATTGAACACACAGGAAAAATTTCATCAAAATCGGTCCAATCGTTTGAGAGAAGTTCAGTGACATACACACTCACAGAAGAATTATATATATAAAGATTTGTGTATTTAATTATTTAATGTTCTTAATAACAATTTTGCTGTCTAAGATTGATGTACA